GGAAACCAGGTACACTGTTTCATACCTGCAGGAGCCACTACTGTCTGGTACCTCCCTAGGGTGCCACCCACCAGGATTACTGTGAGTGAAATCACATCTCCCCCTACCTTTAGTGCCCTTATAAGTGGACAGTGCCCTCATGGGCACCAGCACAAGCTGTCCCAACAGCCTCGCCACTTCCACAGCTCTCAGCTCCACTAGGAAAAACTCTGTGGGCCTTCACACCATGGCAACTGGACCTCTAAGCTTGCCTGCTGCAGGACACAGCCCCAAAAGTTCTGTAGCCTCCAGAGCAGAGAGGACATCTGAGTCTCAAGGCTGTAGGAAAGGTTTGAGAATTCGTATCAAAACCCCTACCCAGAGTCTGAGGCTCCATAAATTATTCGGGTTGCTAGAGACTGTCTTGATGACCTCATCTGTCATTGAGAAGCCCAGAACCACTCAGGAGGTAGGGGTGGGCTGAGAGGCCCTGGATGAGGTGCCTGGCATGCAGGAGGAGCCCTGAACATAGTTCTGGTGTTTTTCAGGCCTCCAGCTGCCCACAGCACTCTGAGCAAGCATTAATCCAGCAGTGCTGGCCACCAGGGAGCCGGCCCTGGTGATACCAGGGTGCAGGAGTTGAGTGGTGCAGCTCCAGAGCCAGCCTCTGTGCCTGTGGAGGTGGGAAAGGACATCCAGGGGAGGTCTAGAGTAGCAGACTTATATGGTGGCCCAGTGTGGGGCAGGGGAAGGACTAGGAGGGAACCATGGGAAGGGGAGCCGTCCCAGGCCTGCCCTGTGGGGTCTCTTGCTCCTGGCTCCCCCTTCTGCTTTTGGCTGTGATCACGTGGGGAACTGTCAGGCTCCTTCTACCCTGCCTGGTATTGGCCTCTTCTCTCCATCCTCAGCCAGGCTTCATTTTTTTTTTTTTTTCATCAGTGCCTGTCCTATTGGTCAGGCCCCACTTGGCCCCCCTTGCTCTCCCTCCAGCATGTCCCCCACACCTTTGGAGCAGCACACACCTGCACCCTCTGGAGTGGGTACAGCAGGGACTTTGCCATGTGGGGCCATGGTGGGGAAGACAGGGCAAAGCTGGTGCTCTCTTCCTTGCTGCTGGGTGCCTGTCCTCACACAGGGAGGCCTTCCCCCACACTCTGCTCACTGGATGAGGGAGGGCATAGCTGGCTTAGTCGGGGAGGGTCAGCAGAGTGAGGTCTGCTTTGGCTCTTCCCACTCCTTCACAGAGGAGCTTCCTGACTCAGGCAAAAGTTTTAAGTTGTTGGCTTGCTATTTACCCTCCTGGCTCATAACTCTACCTGGTGGCTCCACTCTCAGGCCAGTTGTCCCTAAAGGCCAGCCTCATGGCCATGAAACTGGAACCACTTCTCTCCAGGGCTTACCACCATCTGCCCATCTCCACACTGGAGAGGTGAAGTATTCTCAGGCTCCTGCTAGGGGAGGGAGCCAGTTAGGATCCTGTGTTCACCTCTGGCTACATCCCTGTGGCTTGTGGGTAGGCAGAGAAAGGCCAGGGGCCCAGCCCTGGGACTAGGAGGGAACAGGCCCTTTAAAGAATGGAAGGGGATGATGCTTAGCACCTGGGAATCCTAGGGTTTCTACTGCTGACAGGCCCAGGCTGTTAGGAACTTCTACTAGTGTAGGTGTCTCTTCCCCCTTACATATAATGTGCTTTTGCTGCCAGTCGGCTGCCCTCTACCTCTTGTGAGGTGCTTCTATGGCCCTAAGAGGGTCCAGGTCCCTCCCTGACCCACCTTCACCCAGGGAGCAAGGCCTGAGCTGCCTTTGCTCTCCCTCCACCCCAGACCAGGAAGTCCTCAGAGTGTACCTGCCTCATTGGTACCCTGGGCCCCTGCCAGAGTGAGTACCTGTCCCAGAGACCAGACAGGTGGATAGGGTTGAAAGCCCAGCCTCAGCAGCAGGGGAGAGGGAGAGATGGGAGAAATGAAGTGTGTGGCTTGGCCTGCACAGCCTAGTCCCCTCCCACAGGGCCCAGTGGATATCGAAGATGTAGGCATGGCTTGGGATGACCGTCAATTTCCAGTACTAGTCTCTTAGGACATTTCTGCACAGCTTCAACATGAGAATGACCCTGGGCCCAGACCCCCTTCTAGATGGGCTAGCAATGCCAGGCTACCCCTACATAGTCCCAGTTAGTCCAGGTAACCATCTTGTAGGCCTCGTGCGGGCTTTCTCCAGATGTCTATTGGCTCAGTTTGGCACATGCTCCTTCCCCCCAACAACAGAGTAGTGCTGCATCTGTTTCCTAAATTTGGGAGCTAGTGTTTGGAATCATTCACCGCAGCGCCTCTGCACACACCCCTCCCCACCTGTCAGACCTGCTTGTCTGTCCAGCCCACCATGCAGATAGCCACGTGTGCTTTCTCTCAGCTAGGGCTTTCTCAGTCCCCTTTCTTGTAGGAACGGAGGAGAGCAGGCTGTTGCTGGGCCAGGCCAGCTGCTTTTAGCAGGTACTGCTCAGACTGTGCTGTTGCTTGCAGTGATTGCCTCACAGTCATCGCAGTTATCCTGCCTGTGGCCACCTTCCCCTAGAGCCTGGAGCTGGGAAGAGCTGTTACCTGTGAGCAGAATTGTCTGGAATCTGTCCTGTACAGTTGAACATGGAAATTTCTAGGGTGAAGGACTAATGGGAAGATTGGGGGGCTATTATTCCCCAGACAAGTTTCTGCAGAGACTATGCCCTACAAAATGGGAGGCAGAAAGCCCTCCTCAACCCAAGAGTGCCTTCTACTCTGCCAGGTTTGTTTGTATCTGGGCCCTGGGTACCCGGAGCTGAAACAGACCTGCTCTCGGCCAGTGCATACTGCTAGCCACAAACCCACCCCAACCATCTAAGGGGTTGACTCTGAGTTGCCTCTGGGAGTCAGAGGAGGACAGCAAGCCAGGAGGACTTCAGAGAGGAGGTGATGTCACAGCTGGGCTTGGGGGGGGACACAGAAGAGTTGGCTGGATGGAGGAGGTAGAAGGGCATTGGCAGAGACCCAAGCATAGAATTGGTGGCTGGACTCCCAGGTCAGGGAAAGATTGGTCTCTAACCTGATCCAAGTCATGGGGTGGGGATGGGGGGCCTGTGCACAGCAAGGAGTGAGGGATGGAATCTATGAAATCCAGCATCATGCCAGGCTTGGTGGTGCATGCCTGTAACCCCAGAATTGTGGTATTGTTATGAGTTTGAGGCCAACCTGAGCTGCATGGTGAGTTCAAGGCCAGCCTGTACTGCAGAGAAAGATACTATATATCAAAACAAAACAAGAGGAAGGAGAGAAATTCAGGGTCATTCTAGGCCCTCTCAGTTGACTGACAGGAGCAGGGTATGTCCTGGTTCCCCTCCAAGAAGCGAGATCTGGGAGTAGTGGCTCATGCTCACATCTCTGACCTGGAATATGCCCTGGGCCTCTCCCCTCACATCCAGGTTGGAGAGGAGCTGTGCAGTGGTAGAGGCTGGCACATGCTGTAGAAACCTCCTTCGTAGGCCCAAAGGATTACTTTCCTCTGTGCTGTGGTTGTTGTGAGGGTAAACCCTGAGCCACCTCGAGCTGTTTGACTCAAGAAAATCACTCCCCATAGCTGTGGAAGGCTATGGTAAGACCACCTGAGTGGCGTCTGAATAACTTCGCAAAAGGCAAGCCCTTTCCACACCCAGAACTAATGGGCCTGGTAGGTGACAGGGAGAGCAGTCACACACAGCCCTAGAAGCAGGGGCAGAGCGCCAGAACATGGTTCTTAGCTCCCCACACTGGCTGCTATAGCTGCTCAAGGGCATTCCTCTTGCCTCCTGTGTAGTAGCTGTTCACAAGATGTTGCAGAACCACAGTTCCAAAAGACAAAATTGCTTGCCCTCCTCCGTGTAGGTGGTCTAAACTCACTTCCTCCTACTTGAGCACAGCAAGGGGTGGAAGAGGGCTGCTTCATCCAGCCCCACCCCCGCCGCAGGCTATCTCAGTATGAGCCAGCCTGCTCATCTGTTGCCCTGTCATGCAGTATAGAGCGTGCATTGGCTTGGGACTGAGGGTTGTGCCTGCCCCCCAGGTCTAAGTAGCTTCTGTCCCAGGACTGCTAGAGCAGGGTAGGCCAGTACCCCTCTGTAGGCCTCAGAGCTGGCAGGGACAGCCACAGACTCTAGACATCCCACCATGGTCCCTGTGACAGGTGGCCAAAGTCCCCAAACTTCACACTTCATCCAGACCCAATGCTAAGGACAAGGAGGCAGCATCATTTGCAGCACTGGCCCATTCTGCTCAGGAATTACTCTAGGTGGTTGGCTACGGGGCTCATTGTGGAGCCTGCTAACTCCTCCCAGGTCCTGGAGGCCCTGTCCCAGAGATGGGCTCCTCAGTGCTTGTGCACTTATCACTCCCTGTATCCATGCCTGCCCCACACCTGGACTGGAGCCAGGAGGTTACCTGGTGCCATGCTAGTCAGGGAGCCAGCTGGTGAAGGGCAGCCACAGCAGGTTGGGTGTGGGCAGAAGGAGAGAAGAGGAAGGTCATCGGCAGCATGCTCTGTCTGAGGTGGCAGGGACCCAAGGATCCTAGGAGCCATAGATGATCCAGCAAGCTGCTGGGGAAGGGGGTACTCAAGGGTGGGGCTGTACTGGTGTCCTTCTGTGGCAGCAGCTGTTGGAGCTCCATCATTGTCCCCTTTGACCCAGTGGTTCCACCTGTAAGAGTTGGTCACGTGGCTGGGTCACCACTTGTGTAGAGAGATGTGTGCTTGATACAAGTACCACCATAGGGGACCAGCCCAACAGATGTTTGCAACTCAGCCATGCAGAGAGGGATGTTCAGAACCTCAGTGTGCTGTGTACCGCTGTTGGGCAGGGGAGTGCAGGTGAGGGGCCTCGCTGCATCCTCTAACACATTAGAACGGGTTGCAACACCTTGACGGGGCAGAGTGTGTTGGTACTGCGGCAGGTTCATGGGACCTCAAGCAGGGTGTCCCCTGTCCCATCCCACAGCCTGTCCCTCTTGCCTGTCCTGCAGGGCATCTGGCGGATCCCTGTGGACGAGATTGACCGGCCAGGCAGCTTCGCCTGGCACATGAACCGCTCCATTGTACTGCTGCTCAAGGTGCTGGCCCAGCTGCGGGACCACAGCACCCTGCTGAAGGTGTCCTCCATGCTGCAGCGGACCCCGGACCAGGGCAAGTGAGTGAGCTGCCTGAGCACAGCTAGCCCACGGCCGTGCTCTGGGGCCGGTCGCCCACCCCGGTCCTGCCCTTTCCGCTCCAGCCTAGCCTTGAGGCCTGCTCTGTGCCCCTCTGCTCCAGCCTAGCCCTGAGCCCTGCTCTGTGGGAGTCCAGCCAGCCTTTTCCTCGCAGGGTGTTCTGGCCTGTCCTGGGCCTGGCAATGTGGAGCCAGCCCAGGCTCACCCTGTTGCCTTTGGTCTGCACATCCAGACTCTGAACAGCTCAGCCTTCCTTTTCCCCTGCGTTTCCTTCAGAGGTGCTGCCACATTGTGGGGAAGACAGTTTAGATCAGAGCCATGTAGCCAAGGGAAGGCCAGTAATAACTAGATGAGCCCAGAAAGAAGGGCACCCACCAGAGTGCCACACGTGGGGTTATGGTCATCTCAGCACAAGGTGACCAGGCTGGTGGTAAAGCCTAGAGCAGAGTCACCATCCCCTTGTGCCTGGGCTACATCACTGTCTCATGGTCTTGTTCTGCGGCATGCTGTGAACCCAGAGAGCCCTCCAGATAATCCCAGGGTATCCCTCCCAGCCTTCCTTATGGCAGCACGAAGGAACCACAATGGCCGTGCCCTTGGAGTTCATGGCCAGCCAGGAGGCCCAGGGAAGCCAGCTATAGTCAGTCAGTCATGTGTTGAATTTGATGGGTGAAGTTGAAAAGAGATTTTTGGGGGAGCAGAACTCAGTAGGTGGAATACAGACAAATAGACATTCTTGGGGGCAGGGACAAAGCACAGAGCCACCACTGAGCAGCACCACGTGGTGTCTGACACACTCCCACCCTTTCTGACCACTCCTGTGTGACCATAGGAAGTATCTGCGAGATGCTGACCGCCAGGTCCTGGCACAGCGGGCCTTCATCCTCACTGTGAAGGTGCTGGAGGACACACTAAGTGAGCTCGCGGAGGTATGTAGCCCGCCCCTGTAGCCTGTAAACATGCCCCCAGGCTTCCCAAGTGCTGGTCCTGAGCCATCTGGTTCCCCTACACTGCACCTTAGGCAGGTCCCTGTGTGCCCACCTCTGAAGTAGCACTCACCCTACCCAGGCAGGCAGTATCATCCGGGGTAGCGACCATGCAAGCTGTTAGTGAGGCCCCAGCAATCTATGATTAATGTAGGAGGTAAAAACACGCTATACAACTGAGCCATCCCCACAGTGGGCCCAGCAAGGCTTCTGAGAGCATCCTGTGCCCTTTGAACCCTCTAGGCAGGTAGAACAATACCCCCATTTTGTAGCTGAGCACCTCACGTCCAGAAGCTTCAACAACTTGCCTAGCAGGTGATACTGCTGGAAGCTGAGCCAGCTGGGTGCTGAACCAGGATGCCGTCTCCACAACACGCGCCTCATGGGGCTGGCTGAGGCTTGATGCAGGTACCCAGGGTGGTGCTGCAAGCCTGGGAGTGTCCTCACTGTCCACCTCACAGTAGAGGCCAGGACGACTTGGCTCTGCCCGAAGCACACCTCATAGCTCCAGGCAGGCCTCCTTCCCATAAGGCACCCCAGAGTTCATATCACAAGCCACAGGAGAGCAAGAGGACCAGGACTGTTGCTCAGCAAATAAAGAGCCCAGCTGACCTGGTTACTTGGGGAGGTTGTGGGCAGCCAGTGTAGCAGGGAAGGTCTCTGAGCGTGGCACCTTCTCCAGTGATGATGCAGCATAGCAGTTGCTGGCTAGCAGATGTCCAGAGCCACAGCGATGTTGGGTGGGAGAGGAAGTCAGAGGTGCTTTGTTGCAATGGAGACACTGTGTCTTTGGTTTCCTTGTAGGGATCAGAACGCTCAGGGCCAAAGGCCTGTGGCATCCCCAGAGCCAGGATGACCACTGATGTCTCACACAAGGCCAGCCCTGAGGATGGCCAGGAGAGCCTCCCCAACCCCAAGAAAACTTCTCTGGCTGATGGTTCGGGAACAGGGCCCGAGCCAGGGGCCAAAGTGAGCTCCCTCAACCACCGGCCTATGGCCATGGATGCAGGAGACAGTGCAGACCACAGTGGGGAACAGAAGGACAAGGAGAGTCCTCGGACAGGGCCCACTGAGCCCATGGACATAGGCGAGGCTGCCATTTGCCGCTCAGACTTGGAACGGACACCGCCTCTATTGCCAGGCCGCCCTCTGAGGGATCAGGGTCCTGAGAGCCGCCCTGCTGAGCTGTCCCTGGAGGAGCTGAGCATCAGCGCCCGGCAGCAGCCCACTCCACTCACGTCAGCCCCAGCAGCACCCACCGCCAACGCTGGCCCTGCCACTGTCTCAGGGGTCAGGGGTAGCATCCACCCTGAGGAGCCACCTCCACAGCCCAGCCGCAAGAGGAAGCTCTTAGAGGACACGGAGTCTGGCAAGACACTCCTACTGGACGCCTACCGAGTATGGCAGCAGGGCCAGAAAGGTGTGGCCTATGACCTGGGCCGCATTGAGAGGATCATGTCAGAGACCTACATGCTCATCAAGCAGGTAGACGGGGTGGGCAGTTGCCCCAGGGATATGTGTGCAGGCTACAGCCTGACTCTGCTTGCCCTCTCTCAGGAAGCCCCTTTCTGGGGTCCAGATGTGCTGGGGCCTGCCCTGCGTGGGTTTTAAGTGTCATGACCGCTGCATCCCCACTGTCTGCCAGGGTGGGGGTAGGGACTATTTCTAAAGTGTTCTGTAATGAAGCAGACCATACATTTTGTCAGAAAAACAATGAGCTGGGCTGGGGAGATAGCTCAGCGGTCTAGCTTAGGCAAGCACAGAGGACTGTGGTCTCAGTCCCCTGCACCACATGCCACGCCAGCCCTGCCCTCAGGGTGAGCTGAGATAGCTTGAAAAAGAAAAACAATGAACTTTAAAACATTTGAGCATGACCTTAAAGGAAAATAAAACCTTATTGTTGAGCCAGGGAGATAGCTCAGCTGCATAAGCACCTGCCTGGCAAGTGCAAGGTCCTGAGTTCGATCCCCAGTGTTGAAAACTTATCGTTGACCCAGCCCAGGGAGGTGGGACCCCATGAAGGGTCCTCTGGAGGCGTTTAGATTGCTTCCTTACTTTGAGACTTCTTGTGGCTGCAGTGCCTTGAATGTGACCAGAAAGACCATGGCCATTCTCATTTTGCTTTTTTTTTTATCTTTAAAACATTCTTTTGATTTTTTTGAAATAGGATCTTACTATATAGTTTATGAACTTACATAGCCAGGCTGGCCTTGAACTCACAGCAGTCTTCCTACCTCAGCCTCCCAAGTGCTAGGGATTGCAGGGGTGTACTACCATACCTAGCTTCTCCTTTTATTTTTTGAGAGAGTTTCACTAAATTGCACAGGCTGGGGTTGAATTAGAGATTCTCTGTGAGCCTCCCAGAGTACTGGGATTACAGGTTTGCTTTTTTCCTCTCCCTCCTCTCCTCCCTTCCCCTCTCCCTCTCTCCCCTTTTTTCTTTTTAGTACCAGGGGTCAAACTCACGACCTTGCACTTATTCTGATGACCTATCTCCCTGGCCCCTATTACCTCTGTTTCAGAGTATAGCTACATTCTTGTTTTAACCCCCTATTTAAAAGTATCCCATAGGAAGAATCTCCAGAACTTGAGCAACTAATGCAAGTGGTATGACCATTCCTGATAATTTTTAAGAGATTTCCTGTCTCTGTCTCACCAGCATCCAGTGTTAACTTCCCATTTCTGGTTGCTGATTACTTAGTAGACTGTTCAGGTGCTGGTCCTTTCCTCGGTGGGTGGCTAGGCCCTTTCCCTGCCATGCCTGCTCCCCTGACCTTGGTTGGCAGTATATGGCTGATACCCTTAAGCCCTACCTGCTGCTTGCCCGGGGAACCCCCACAACTCCCAGGTCTCGTTCTGACCTCCCCATGTCTTGGGCTTGGCACAGCCCAGGTCTGCCCGCTGCCCAGATCTGGGTTTCCCATTCAGGTCACAGCCCTTCCCCCTGCCTACTTGAGGGACAGGCTGTAGCTCAAACGACTGCTTCTGCTGGAAGCTACATAGAAGCAGCCAGGCTTCTGCTGAATTTCAAGGCTTGGTTGGGGTCTGAGTTCCCCCTGCCAACCTGAGTTCTTAAGGACACAACTTGCCACAGAAATTAACTGGTGGCCAGAAGATGACTGGACCACCTCACCTGGCACGCCCACCTGGGAGACAGAAGTGCACCTGCCCACAGGAGTGCCAGGAGGACCTGGGGATAGCTGCTAGTAGGGAGTGCTCTTCACAGGATGGGGACCTCCCCATAGGCTGGTTTTTGCTGCCTGAGACACAGGGCTGGGAGGGGGCAAGTACGCAGGTCTTCTGACCTCTTCTCACTCAGGTGGATGAAGAAGCTGCACTGGAGCAGGCTGTGAAGTTCTGTCAGGTCCATCTTGGAGCTGCTGCCCAGAGACAGGTAAGCATGACCCACACCTAGGCCTGGGCCACAGGTCAAGCTCCTGTGGTCAGTGGTGGCCAAGGGAGAGGGGGGTATGACGTGGCTGAACCTTGGGCTGGTGGTGGGTCCTCAGACCCCAGATCCAGCTGTCTGACATGTGAATATATAACCCGAGGGGTCTTCTTTCCCTGGCTCCCTTTTCCATAGACAAGGAATGCTTGCTAGCCCACTGAGCAGGAAAAGTTCCTCTGTTAGGGACAAAGGTAGAGAAAGTGATGGATGGGGTCGGGCTGATTAAGAGCAAAGTGGAAGGGGACAGGTGTGTCCGCTGGAAGGAGCTGTGTGGTAGCAGATTTGGGGGTTTAGTCTAAGAGAGTGCTGTGAGTGTGGTGTTTATTGGGGCAGGGCTGCAAAGTCAGTGTTGGGTGGAGAGAATGGGCTAGTGTAGGGGCAGGTGAGGATGGCAGGGCCCCCGAGATAGTGAGAGGGTGGACTGGCAAATTGGGTGGCAGGTAGGGGTTGGGGATGAGGCCCTTTCTGGAAAGTGCCAGGATTGAAATCCTGTTCTTTTGCGTCTGAGGCTCTTGCAAGGGAAAGGCTAAGGAGGCAGAAAGGTCAAGGGCCCTTTCCTGGAGGGACAGTTCAGTCCAGATCCCTGAGTGTGAGGAGCCCTAGTGTATAGGCCCCCTTGAAGCCATCAGTATGGACCCGAGGCTGGAAGAGCACACAGGCAGGGCCATGCGCCTTAGCAGGACCACAGGTGCAGAAGGAGGTATGGGACAGGATAGGATGGTGTCCCAGAAGGAGTGTTCAGATAGCCTAAGACCAGGCTGGAAAGGATGGGGGACTACCAGTTCTGGGGATCCAGAGACCAGGGCTGGTTTTAAGAAGTGATGGGAAAGGCGTGAGCAGGAGAGAGAGGAGTTGGAGCTTTAGGGAAGGTCCCAGTCCAATGGAAGGCTAGTGGGGAAGACTGACCTACAGGAAGGGTCCTGATGGACTGAGGTAGGTGGGTGGGAGGATTGTTGGGAAAGCCTGACAGTTTGGAGAACCTGCAGATCATAGAGCTGTGGCTTGTCATTTGGGCAGCTGCAGCCTTTTGTCCCAGCTGGTGATCTGACAGCCTTGGGCTACCTCATCCCAGAAGGGCTAGCAGCTGGCAGGTAGCCACCAGGGGTTCCAGAGGGGCTTTGTGTTAGTGAAGTGGGGCATCAGTTACCACTGCTGATGACATCCTAAGTCTGAGGAAACCTTGAGGGTTCACCATTGATCAAACTGGTGGTAGGCTAGGCAGGAGTCGCTGAGGGAGCAGGTGGCTCTAACCTCACAGCTCAGGACCAGAGTCCTCAGTAGGATGTGACCCAACCTTCCAGCAACCCTCACCACTCTGCTATTGCCCGGGTAGCCAAAGTGCTTGGCACAGGGCCCATAGCCTCTCCAGGTGTTCAGCACAGCCTCCCTACTCCATGGGACGGGTAGTTTCAGAGGCCCCTACACAGGGGGCCTAGGCACGGGACCTGCTGGGGACCAGGTACGGAGCCTGTGTGTAGGAGAGCCAGCTTGATTGATCTGTACTCCCTTCCTGTTGGTGTTCTGCTCTACTACGCACTTCCTGGACCCCAGGGGTTGGGGTGCCCCAGTGTTACCTCAGATCCTCTTATACGACTGGACCTGGAGTGGCACTGCTGACTGCTGGCTGCTCTGCTCTAGTCCTCCTCTCCCTCGGGCCCACTTCCTGCTTCCCCATCTCTCCATGCTGGTGCATTTTACTCTCGTCTCTTGACCTGGTGGCACACGCCTGTAAGACTGTAACCCCAGCACTTGGGAGGGAGGCAGAAGATGGCTGTGAGTCTAAGGCTAGCCCAGTCTGCGTAATAAATTTAAGGCTAGCCTGAGCTATACAGGGAGACCCTCCCTCGAGGAAAAAAAAATCCTGGGGAGAGGACTCCCTCCCCAAGAGGCTTCCATGTCCTTGTGAGTTGGCAGCCAAGACCCCTCCTGGGAGTGGGGTGCTGTCCCTGGTCCCCTGCAGGGCCACCCCACTTTGGGGTGGGCAGGGACAATCACAGCTGTCCTGGCCCCACCTGTGACCAGCACCAGGTAGGAGGAAGCCCTGACACATCCCAGGGCCATACCTGTGCACACTTAGGGTGCTCTGGACGTCAATAAAGGCTCAGTGTGGGTGCCTGTGGCTGGGACTCATGGCCAGTAGGCCTGGGCAGAGAGCCAGATTGCTTCCCTCCTTCCTTTTTTTTTCTTTTTGACTTGCTATATAGTTCAGGCTGGCGTTGAACTCACTATATAATCCAGGGTGGCCTCAAACTTGGTGCAGTCTTTCTGCCTCAGCCTCCCTCATGCTGGGATTAGAGGTATGTGCCACCACATCCAGCCGCAGGGGCATTGCAAGCCATTTCAAGGAGGCATCAGAAAGAGCAGGTCATCAGTGGAAGCCAGCTGCCTCCCAGGCACTGAGTACCCACCAGTGAGCATGTGACTCAGCCACACTGGCGGGGATGGAGGTCCTGCTTCCTCAGGCCATGCAGTGGGCCTGCTGCTGGGGTGGGGACTGAGGGCTCGAGCTGGGCCCTCAGCTCCACTGTGAAGAGTGTCCTACCTCACCTTTGAAGCACGTTGCTAGGTGCCCTGGCCTTCATACTGTCCCAGGAGATCTGGGCCTTCTGGGAAGTAGGAATAGGCCTATGAAAAGAGCCTGGAAAATAACTTGTGACAGAGGGAAATTTGCAAAGGAAGACTCTCTGGGAGTCTTTGAGAGCCAAAGGCCATTGTAGGGTCACTGTGTGGCCACGAGCAGGGATTTGGGTGGAGTCTCAGCTGATCGCAGTACTGAGCTCCCAAAAGAAGACCTGCAGTGTTCCGCGTGGCTCCTTCCCACTGGTGGTCCTTAGGGAGTTGCCCTCCAAGATTGACACCTGCAGTTCCAGGGTCAGGCCCCACACCCCTACACCTAAGCTCACGGCTGGACACCTCTTTCAAGTTGGCCCCTGGAGTAAGGAGGGACCAGCTGGGGGGTCCCAAGTCCTTACTCCCACAGACCAGATGCCTCTCAGAGAGGGGTGCTGGGTCCGCAGCCGTGTGCTGACATTAGCCGTAGCATTTCAGGATGCCTCTGGATATTATTGGCCACATTGAAGGGCTCAGAGAGATGCACTGAGGGCCATGTTGGCACCCTGGGTCCCAAGGACACATCCTGTTAGGTTGGTATACATCAAGGGCTGTATGGACTCAGCTCCCGTCCAGCCTTCCCTTACTCCTCTGTTTTCACAGGCTTCAGGGGACATGCCCACCACCCCCAAGCACCTCAAGGACAGCCGAGAGAACTTCTTCCCTGCAGTGGTGGCTCCCACGGTGCCTGAGCCTGTGCCAGCTGAGGGCCATACCAAGTCGCGCCCTGCGCTGGCCACCACCACGGCTCCTGTTAGCTGTCCTCCCTCAGCAGCAGTCTCCAGCCCAGACTCCCCCAAGGACTCTGGAACCCTTCGGCCACCCAGGCCTGACGGCACACCTAGCATGGCATCTCTGGGCCCAGGTGAGTCCCATCCCAGTGCGCCTGGAGGCACAGGGCCCCATAGCCAGCTGTGCCAGAGGTGTGTCCAGGCCCTCAACACCAGCAGACAAAAGTCCTGCTTCTGGCATGGAGAGTATGGGTAGGCAAGGGGAGTAGTCTCCAGCGTGCTGATCCAGCCCTGAGAATGGCAGCTGCTAGTCCATCTGTCAGACCCCAGTGACGTTGGTAGCCCTAGTGAGCACATCCTGCATCTTCCAGCCCTAGCTCTTAACAGTGCTGGGATGGAACCAGGGTCTTATCTATGCCAGGCAAGCCTTCTGCCACCAAGCTACATATATCCCAGCTCTTTTTGATTTTGAGACAAGATCTCACTAAATGGTCCAGGCTGGCCTTTAACTTGTGATCCTCCTGCCTCAGCCTCTTGAAGCAGAACTAGGGGATATAGCTCAATAGTAAAGAGCCTAAGTTTGTTCCCTGGTGCCGCAGTTCAGTACTCCTTGAGTTCAGTCCTTAGTTCACAGTACTGGTAATCATCATCATCGCCAGCCTTTTGGTCGGGTAAGAGAAGGGGGATGAGAGCAGATGAGACCTCCCTGGACACCTGGCATAACACAGGCCCACCAGCACCTGGCCTCAGTAACCCCTGGAACCTAGTATGCCCTTGTGCAGGACAGGTGGAAGCCAGCCAGGAGGGGGTGGGGCCAGGGCAGTGGACTTGTAAAGGAAAACAGGATGGGTGCAGGTCCTGTACCACCTGGCTGGCTCCACCAGTAGGGGCTCTACTTCTGTCTGAAGGCCGGGACCCACCCAGTCTCTGGCAGGGCTGGCCGGGGCCTTTCCTGGGAGCAGGGTGAGCAGGAGGCGGGTATGGCCCCATCCCCTCAGCTGACACAGGCACAGCCCTAGTTCCGCGCTATAGCTGCACGTCTGCTCATCTCGGGAGAGTGCCAGGCTCTGCCCACCTGTAGGGCAGGGGCCCTCTCCTGATAGTTTTCAGGCTCTTGCTTCTATGGCCGTACTCTGAAGACCTGTATCAAACATTACACAGACATGGGCGCGCCCCTCCCTAGTTGGTGACTACCGGCAGATACCAGCCTGGTGGGTATATTCCCTGTGCCCCAGGGACCACCCAGGGACAGATCAGCCAGGACGAGTTCCTTGGGGTAGATAGCAACAGGCGGGCCAGCAGGGTACCTGGAGATTGGCCTCCTTAGTCCCTCTCTGCCTTGCCCGCCCTGCCTGAGGCCCAGACCCCGCAATTCACACCCTTTTTTCTTCTGCTGGATATAGGGAAAAATATGTTTCCAAATGTACACTTTTCAGCTTAGAGGGTTGATCTTTTTCAGTTTTCTTCCTAAAAACTAGATTAAATGGCCTTTTGACAAAATGGAGCTTTTAGATGAGCCTGGGTGAGGACAGCTGTCAGCTAAGAATGTGCGCCCGGCTATGTGCACAGGGGTCTCTGCTCGGCCCCAGCACCTGAGACAGGGCACTCTGTGGCTGGCCCACCGTCCACTTCTTGCCTGGTGCAGAGCTACTGCGGGACCAAAAAGCAATGTTTGGCCAGCCATGCTGGGCTGGATGACTTGGTGTTGGGGCCCAGCTGTTCCCCCAAGCCACAGCCTCCAGAACAGGAGGTTGGCACATCAGCAGGAAGGCACGGTCCTCGGTAAGGTCCATGTTCCCCAAGGGCGTGTGCCTGTGTGGCTGGGGTCTACTGCGCTCGGTGCTGGTGGGGCGTGACTGCAGAAGCACCTGGTGACTAGAGGATGACTGCAGTGGCATACGGGGTTGGGAATCAGGGCCGAGTGAGGACTGAGCTACCTAGAGGAGCATACAGGAGGACGAATTCCTGCATGGTGGTGTCCAGGGCACACACAAGAGACTAAAAATGGCGGCCACAGGGGAGAACCTGACAGATGCCCCCCTGAGGCAGACGGCCCCTCTCCCTCATGGAGAAGGTGGCCGGCACTGTTTGGTCTTAGCTTGGCATGCCACTGTGTCCGCCTCCAGCATCCCCAAACCCCAGTGAAATGTTCACACTCCTGCCAGCTGGTGCTGCCCAGGCCATGACTCCACATGGCAGGTACACCCCTCAGGGAACTCAGCACCCCCCCACCCCCCCCACCCCCGTTCAGGGCACCTCCCCAAAGGTGGCTTAGGCACTACCTACGCCTGGGCGGTGGTGTCTGTCTGATGCTGTCCCACAGCACTGATGCTGAGTAATGGCCTGGCTGGCAGCCATGGGTGCCATCACCCTGATCCCATTGGCTCTTGGCCCAGCTGAGGCCAGTTTCAGCCCCTGCCTCTTGCCAGGGAAGGAGTGGTCTAGCTTGGCAGGAGGGCATGGCGCCTATATATGCTCCATCTACCTTGGTCATACTAGGGTTCTGGTATCCTCTCTCGTGAGGCAGAGGAGGAAACACCCCCCACACCCTGAAAGCCCATCCTCACAGCTTTGGGTGTGGCCTTCCCTGTATCAGCTGTCCAGCTGTCCAGGTTAGAGAGATGTTAAGTAAACAGTTATGACCCAGTAAAGAACACAGCTAGCTTGAATTTGGGGGCTCCAGGCAAGACCTCCTGAGTGACTCCAAGTGATGAGTCCGAGTCCAGTTTATTGAGCTGGGTCTTCATGGCTAGGGTAGGAGGTTAGTAGGATAGGCTTAATGGGTGATATGAAGTGAGGGATAACGTACACATCAGAGACCCCCATGCCCAGCATCTACCTGGAGGCTGAGGAGTTTTCTGAAAGTATCTTCTGACCCTTCTATGTGCTTGGCCCAGAAGAGCTCCTCCTGATTCCTGAGTCACTGGGTTTTTTTGTTTCTTTTTGGGGGTTTTTTGAGGCAGGATTTGGCTGTACCAAGTCACTGTTATGGAGACAGAGAACTGTCTTAGCCTAGGTTCTCCACATCAGCCATAGTCCCTTGCCACATATCCCAAGGCACAAGAGACCAAGGGCCTGTGCCCATGAATGGGCCTTGCCCAGTGGGGTGGGTGAGTAATTGCCTGTGTCGGCCTGTGTCCCCACAGAGGGAGAAAGGCTCGGAGTGGTGGAGGGCACCGTCTTCCCACCCCAGGAGCTGCCGCACAGCCAGCAGGTGCACAGCCAGCAGGTGAGGAGCGCCTCTGCTGGTCCCCCTGCAGAGCCGCACTGCTGGCCCCTGGAATCTGCCCCCCAGACAGGCACCGAGCCCAGCTGTAGCCAAGGTAAGATCAGTCGGGTGCAGCACTGGCTCCTTTGAGGCTGCATCATAGCCCAGCCTCCAGGCCCAGGAGGGCCAGCCCAGGGGTGGCTTAGTGGAGAAGAGGTGGGGGAGAAAGGCAGGGTAGGCAGAGAGAGAGCCCAGGTGAGAGTGTGGCGTGGACTCCGCTTGCAGCTCCACAGCTGCCTCTACCGCTGGCTTCACAGAGGGTTCTGATGGGGAGGTGTCTTCCTTGGGCCTGTGGCTGTCAGCAGAGGCCAGAGGGGCAGGACAGGGGCAGGCATGGGCGAGGAGGGGAAGGCCTATCACTGAGCCATCCCCGTGGGCAGCCAGGATAGCCCTGCCCTAGCCTGTCTGGCCTTCCCGCCACCATCCACCCAGCCTGCTCCTCAGGGACTCCTGCCGGCTAGGCCTCCTGCAGACCATTCAGGACAGCAGGACCTGGCGCCAGCTCGTGGGGACCAGGCTTCAGCTCTATGGAAGCCTCACTCCTTTTAAAGCCATGGACTGCAGAGGAATGTGGAGCCCTGCCAGGGCAGCTGGGTTGCTCAGCTTACACAGCTCCCTAGAGGCAGCTGGGCCCCAGAGTGCAGCCTATCACTGTCCCAGCTGCCTCCATGCTCTGAGTGAACATAGCCCCTCATTCACCCTGGAGCGAGAGGAAAATGGGCACTCAGGCCGGCTCAATGACCATGCCTGGCTGAGTGGCCGCTCTGGACCTTGGTATCCACTCTGGTATATAGGATACATGTCCTGGAATGATTTGGGACACAATTCATGTAAGCACAATGCCTGGGGGGCCCTGGGAAGACTCACAGAGGCTCCCTTGGGTCTTAGATCCTGAACTCCCAGACTCACAGCCCCAGGGTCCCACAGTCCAGATCCTGTGGGTCTGAGCTAAGCACTTGCTCAGGCTGGAGGCCTGCGGACCAGCATGGGCTGCGTACGTTCTGCATGTGCTGACCATCGGGCCTCAGACTAGTGGGCCACAAGAAGGCATCTGTGGTAGGGAGGAGGTACTTCAAATGTTTAACAGGGGGAACTGAGTCACAGGCAGTCCCTGAAATCTGCAAGTGGTGCTCAGCCCCTGAGGTCTCTCCGCACAGCTGCCAGCTCCAAGGTCCCAAGCAGTGGAAACACTCAGCCTCCAGAGGGCCATCCGGGTAAGGTTGAGCCCAGCCGTGCCAAGTCCCGCCTCTTGCCCAACATGCCAAAGCTGGTCATCCCCTCAGCCACAACCAAGTTCCCCCCTGAGATCACCGTTACACCGCCCACCCCGACCCTGCTCTCCCCCAAAGGCAGCATCTCAGAAGAGACCAAGCAGAAGCTGAAGGTGAGCATGGGTGTCTGGCAAGGGGAACCAATTACAAGGAGCCTGGGGTGGGGACCTGGGTTACCTGGGACAGGGGCTGGGGTTACTGGGGTGCCTGAGGGAAAGCTAGGGTTACTGGGGCAATGGGAGACTTCACATTAAGGTCAGGAAGCCAGGGGCAGGGCCACATAGCCTTGACTTGCTTCCTGCTCTGTCTGCAGACAGCTATCCTGTCTGCCCAGTCGGCTGCCAATGTGAGGAAGGAGAGCCTGTGCCAGCCGGCCCTGGAGGTCCTGGAGACGTCCAGCCAGGAGTCCTCACTAGAGAGTGAAACGGATGAGGATGAGGACTACATGGACATCTAAGCAGGGCATACCAGCCAGCCTGTACCCTAGGCATGGCCAGAGGCCCACGAGGGGTGCGTTTCCCTGTGCAGCCTGGTGCCTCCTCCCTTCCGCAGTGGGCTGTCAACAAGCACCAGGTGGGACCTCAGGAAGAGGAGGAAGAGGCGGGCCCATCTTATCATGAGGATGGATTGCTTTCGACCTTCATGCAAGCCTGGCATCCTTTTTTATGAGGTGTTGGCTTTGTAAATGTGCCATGCCAAGCCCAACCAGCCAGGTCCACAGCTGGACATCATGATGAGCTAGGCTCCGCCTGGGTCCCAGTGCTGGGATCTGCTAGGGCCAGGCTTTCCCCACACCCTTTTTTGGTTTCTTTTCTAATAAAGATGAAACAATAGTCTTTGTCTCTCCTCAGTCAAGGTTGAGAGTGGGCTGGGGCCTGCCTCAAGGGGTTGCTGTGCCCAGAGTTTCTGGACTTCTCAGCCCTTGGGCACCCCAGGGATCAGCAGACTGAAGTGCGGGGGCATGGAATATGTGGGGAACAGGTACTTTAGGGGAGGCAGGGCTCAAGTTGCGCTGAGGGGCTGGCAGTGGGACACGGGGTGGGGGGCGGGGCATCAGGAAGGAGGGAAGCTGGGCATGGTGACATACGCCTAGAGTTCCAGCTGAGCTGCACACCACCAAGGCAGAAGGATCATAAATTCAAGGATACATTCTCCGTGAGGCCTTATCTCAAAAAATAAAGAGGCTGGGGATTTAGCACAGTGGCACAACAAGCGCTCACTGACTAAGCATGAGACCTTGGCTTGGATCCCTAGCACCAAACCAAAATGGTGCTAGGACCCCAGTCTCAAAGATTTAAGAAATAAAAATGAGCTGGCTGGCCAGATAGCTCAGCAGACTAAAGTGCCTGCTTAGGGATGGCACATTGGCCAGGGTCCGATTCCCAGGGTGCTGTGCTGACCCTGCCCCTGGGGCATGCTGAGACAGCAGTTGAGACTGGGCATGTTGGCGCACGCCTGTAATCCCAGCACTTAGGAGGCTGAAAACAGGCGAATCACTACAAGTGATCTACGTAGTGAGACCCTGTAGATCTTGTACTAAATACATCCTTTTTAAAAAATGGGCTTGATAAAAGAAAAGGATCGAACCTAAGATCTCTAGACTGCTATAAATGGGATTTTAAAAATAGGGCTGGGAGGGCCAGTGAGATAGCTCAGCTGTCTAAAGCACTTGGTTAGGCAGGCTTACACAGGTACAAGGGACCGGAAGTTCAATCCCCAGCACCATGTGCTGTACCAGCCCCACCCTCAGGGTGGGCTGAGCAGGACAAAAATAAAAATAGGGTGGGGAGGATGTGGTTCAGTAGTACAACACTTGCCTCAGGTGTGGGATGGAGGCAGGGACTTAATTTCTGCACTTGTTGTCACGCTGCCCCAGTACCTGGCCCAGAAGCGTGGCGATCAGCACAGACACATATGTGGGCCTTTTGTTCAGAAGTTACTAAGAATTTTATTGGTTTTGATTTTCTTTTTACTGGTATTAGGAATGGGACCCATGGTCTTCACATAGAGCTAAGTCCCCCGTCTCCCATCCCTTCCTTTTTCTGAGACAGGATCTCACGAGTCACTTCTGTTGACCAACTTGTGATCTTTCTGCCTCAGTTTCCCAGAGTGCTGGGGTAACAGGCAGGCACCACTAACCCACTGAAGCATTTTAATAATGGACATGGTGGCACATGCCTGTAATCAGAGCGCTAGAGCACACAGGAAGCTGAGGCAGTAGAATCATGAGTTCAAAGACAGCTGGACTAGTGAGACCCTATCTCAAAAAAATAAATAGATAAATAAAAATTAACCCAGCAAGGGCCAGTCCAATAGCTCAGTGCACTGAAGCGCTTGTTTAGCCAGGTACAGGGACCAGGGTTGATCTCTGGCATGCTGTACCAGCCCCGCCCTCAGGGTGCACTGAGAGAGCAATTGAGACTGGGCGTGGTGGCGCATGCCTGTGATCTCAGCAGTTGGCAGGCTAAAAACAGAAGAATCACTACAAGTCTTATCTATGTAGTGAGACCCTGTAGACCCTGAACTAAATGCATTAAAAAAAAAAAATACAGCAAGGGACGTAGCTCAACAGCACAGCATCTGCCTTTCAAGACAGAGGGCCAGGGGCCGGAGAGATGGCTCAGTGGAATAAGTGCTTCCCTGGCAAGCACAAGGGCCTGAGTTCAATCCCTGGTTCCACCAAAAAAAAAAAAAGGTCCTGAATTTAATTCCCAGTACACTCTACGCCCAAAAAGAATAATACATTATTAAGCTTGTGATGCAGATTCTGCCAGATGTTTCTGTGGTGTGAAGGCAAAGCATGGAGGTGGAGCAGCCAGGGCAGCACTGCATGGTAGCCCTGGTCCAGGTCCTCCATCACAGGCTTCCTTTGCTGTGCTCCTTAGGAGCCGCCTGTAGGCTGTACTCACAGGAGCCCTGCCAGTGGCCACCAGCACCAACAGGTGCCAGGCAGGTGCATCTAGGCAAGAGAGGTGGCAGTCCCAGAGAACAACAGGCTGGCTGGGCTGAAGACCTGAAGCAGTTGTGACCCAGGTTGTCTTAGTTTATGCCCCTTGGGACTGGCTCCGGCCACCTGTAGAGGTATTGAATATGTCCTCTTAAGACATAGCAGTTGGGAAGGGACATCTGCCTGTTCTGATGTCCAATACACCTGGCTATGGAGGTTTCCAGAAGTCATCAGGGGACTAACTAATCCCTGCCTTTCCTAAGGGTCTCAATTTCCAGTTCTGCATGAGGGTGCAGGCTCTGAGTGAAGGTGCTGGGCGGTTGTGGCTGGGCAGGCCTTAGTTTCTGGGTTTTGGTGAGGGAGCGGCCTATTCCCTGGTCTGCGCACCTCCCTCCACTCATCTTCCTCCTTCCAGCAGGGATCCCAGCTGAGCTGCCCAGGGCCAAGGACATACAGGGCTCTGCAGGGTGTGACTTGACAGCTCCAGCCCTCTGAGATCACCCACACACCACACTGCCCCCCCCCCGTCCTGGGCGGGTCCTGGCTTCATTGCAGGGCCGCGGGGGAGGAGTCCGCAACACCTCCTCCCAGTGGGAACCTGAGGACCTGAGGATGCAATATCTGCCCCAAGGGCACGGGGGCTGGAATCCTGCCAGTTCCGTGGCCGCCCTTCTCACCCACCCAGCAGCATCCCATTCCCTGCAAGAGCCCCACCCTGCAGGCCCAGACTGGACTGGGACCCAGGGCCCTGCTGCAGCCTGTGGGCATCCCCCTCACCTCGAGTCAAAGGTCCTGCAGCTGGAGGCTCCAGCCCCCTTGCCCTCGCCAGGGCAGAGGTTCGGCCCCCTCCCCCTCGTCCCCTGCTGTTGGGCCAAGAATGTGCTAACCGGGCAGGTCCGTTGCTGCTGGTCCGCAAAGGCACCTGTGGACTTTGAGAGGCATCGGAGAGGGGCGGGGCGGGGCGGGGCGGGGCCGCAGAGCTCCAGCCCGGCAGGCGGAGCCAGCCCAGCGTTTAGGAGTGTGCGCGTCAGACCACATCCTGCAAGCCAGGCACTGCGCTGCTGGCTGCAGACACAGGCCTCACCATGAAGCTGGCTCTCCTGCCCTGTGTCCTGCTGCTGGCGACAGTTCCCGGGCCTGGGCCCAGGCCCACAGCAGGTATGCCCCCATCCTGCCCTTCTGTCCCCTTGTCTGATCAGCCAGGCCCAGGGCAGACACTCCTCTGAGCTCAGCCTATGTCCATCTGTTAGGCCATCTGTGGCTTGCAGGGGGCAGTGGGAAGAAAGTGTGAGGCCACAGGGTCAAGGAGCCTGCAGCAGGGATAGGAAGTCTGGACTGATCCCTCCCTACACCCGCCATGAGCTTGGAGGCCTGTACTGCTTGAGAGGGAGGCAAGGTAGACCAGCAGAGCCTTCGGGCTACACCCCAAGCTCCAGTGGAAGGTGTGACTGCACATACCCTCCCCTCCCCCAAATCTATCCCCTTCAGTGTGGGACTAAACCCTAGAAGGAAGTCTAACCAAAGACCTGAATTCCAGAGCTGAGACCCTGGCCCCAGGCTGAGCGGGGCATCACCAACGCAGTCCTCATCTTGCAGGGAATTGTCACCACCATCCTCCTGCCCCTTTGATTTACTTAACTGGCATTTCCAAGCCTCTTCCCTGCAGCCCTTGAGCCATCACATCCTTGGCCAATAAATATTTATTGCTTGTCTTAAGTGCCAGGCCCTGCACTTAGTGCAGTTGGCCCACAGGAGTGTCTCAAACCCAGTCCTGGGGCCAGGCGGGATGTGTCTGAGTGCTCAAACCCCACTCCACTCTTGAGCTCCACAGGGACAGATATCCTGAAGTAGAGCTGAGCCACAGGTCCCCGTAGCCCTTGGGAAAAGGCTTGGGTCATGATGTCCACAGTTCTCTGTGGCAGACTCCTGATTACCCTTCCCTCCTTGCCGGGATCCCTGCTACAAATGCCCCCTCTCCCCCCCCAAAAAAACCAGAATGGAACATTAAGCCTGGCGTGGTAATGCATGTCTATAATTCCAGCTGAGGCAGCAGGTCCACAAGTTCAAGTTCAGCCTGGGCAACTTAGACTGTGTCAGGAAGGAAGGAAGGGAAGGACAGAGGGAGACAAAGGGCTTGGAATAGAGCTCAGTGAAATCCCCAGTGATAAAACAAAACAAAAAAGGGAAATCCTTGGCCTTTCCCCAAAAGTGAGACTCTGTGGGGTTCAGTAGTTGTCCCCTGGGAAAATGAGAGGGTCAACCTCAGCAGGGGGCACCATTCTTTCTAAGATGTTGAATGGGACACTTAGCCAACATCTGAGCTACAGAATTTGGTGGCTAAAGGGCATTCAGGTCCTGGAGTCAGCTCCTGGCTCAGAGGGTGGGATGAGTCAGGCGTTTCCCTTATCTCACTATATTCTAGCCAAGCACTAGATTGATTATCTTTGCAAAGGCTGATGACAGCCTCTTCCACCCAGCCTGTGTGGTGGCCGAGGCAGACCCAATCAGTGTTCTCCTGGGAAAGCAACCTCCCGACACAAGGACTCTGGGGGAACAGAGATGGGCCCTGTCTGAGGGGTGGCTGCCCAGCCCACTTCTGGGCCAGGTACTAAGGGCTATCTTTTCCAGGTGCTCAGGAGAGCTGTTCTCTACGCTGTGGGGACCAGAGTGGGACCTGCTCTTGCCACCCGACCTGTGTAGGCCTTGAAACCTGCTGTGAAGACTTCCGGAACTTCTGCCTGGAGGTCTCTCCCTCCTCGGGCTCCATGATGGGTGGCAAGGACTTTGTGGTACAGCATCTCAAGTGGCCCCAACCCACAGAAGGCGTGATCTGCAGGTGAGAGGCCCGAGGGACATGGCCACCTGGGTCCTCACACTCCCTGTTCTCCCAGTCCCATGCGTGAAAGAGGCCTACACATTATGCTGGATGGGTGGAGCCCTGACACCAAGGAGGGGCAGAAGGGTACAGTGAGCTAGACATGCCCCCTGCAGAAAAGGTGGAAGACTCAGGCTTTGAAAGGGTCAGCTCACCCCAGCTCTGCCACGCCTGCCCCCTCTGCACCTGCAGGTTTAAGGAGAGCATCGAGATCCTCGGCTATGTGGACTCCTTGGAGCAGGTGCACTGTGTGTCACCCTTGCTCTACGAGACTGGCCGCATCCCCTTCACCATCTCAATGGACAATGGTCGTTCCTTCCTTCGCGCAGGCACCTGGCTGGCTGGTGAGCCCCCACACCCAGCCAAGCCAGTTCAGGCACACCCCACCTTCTGTGGGCCTTGGTCCCCACCCATGGGGACTTTTCCCAGTGCTAATCTATGCCCACAGATACCCAGCCCACCCACCTGCTCCTCTGGCAGAACCAGTCCCTTGGGTGGGAACCTCCCCAGCTCATTCTCAATGCCCTCCCTGAAGTCCCAGGCCAGAAGGGAGTGCAGGCTTCAGGGATCCCCAAGCCAGGTGGGGCCCCTGTTTGCTGCTCAGCTCTTCCAGGCCTGGGCCCTACTTCTCTCAGTCTCAGAGTACTTTTCTCCCTTGGGCTTTGATAGAGCCTATAGCATTAGCTGTTGGAGCACCCGTCCTTGGTTCCTGGGCCTTCATTCACCCCTCTCACCTGTCCTTGCCTAGTACATCCCAATAAAGTGTCACAGGAAGAGAAGAGCCAATTGGAGAATGAGACCCGTTGGCAGTACTACGGCACCCCAGGCACCACCACAGGGAACCTCAGCCTCACCTGGAACACCTCAGTGTTGGCAACGGAGACTGTCGCCATTGAGCTATGGGGCTATGAGGAGACAGGTGAGGCCATCCCCGGGCTGGTAGAAGCACCAGGAGCTTTGGACTCCAAGAGACAAGAGAAAAAGAACCTTAGGTATGTGAAGAGGGCAGAATAGGGATGGGGGCTTCCAGACAGAGAGGAAATGAAAATTCCAGGCGGGTGCTAGGGGTCCGGAGCAAGGAACGTGCTGCTAGCAGGGAGAGCAGCAGGAGTTCCCTAAGGCTGGCTGAAGGCAGAGCATGGATGGGTGCCTGGCTGTTTGAGCCCCAGGTCCAGTAAGAGGTTTGGATGCCTTGGCCCTTGGATAGGAGGCTTGTGCTGGGGGACTGGGGAGGCGGGGGTCACCCAAGCCAGGAGGCTCAGATGGCTCAATGCTGGGATGGTCTTGTGTGCCTTGTCTAGGTCTGTTGATTGACCTTCTGTCAGCAGTCAGGCTGCTTCTTGCTAGAGACTGGGACCAGGCCCATCTCCTGCTTCAGGGATCCTCAGAGGGTCCTCGGACTTACCAAGGCCTTCTTTTACACAGGGATGCCATACTCAGGGAACTGGACAGCGAAGTGGTCGTATCTGTACTCCCTGGCCAAAAACGCCCCCAACTCTGGCTCCTTTACATTCACTCCTGAACCTGCATCTGCCATCTACCAGAAATGGAGAGTGGGTGCGCTGCGGATCACCTCCAGCGAACATTACCAGGGGAAGAAGTAAGGGCCACCATACAGAGGATGGGCTGGGGGCAGTATGCCTGGAGTCCTCCGTGCTTGCAAGAGAAGTCCCAGGCCAGGGGCTTCCAACAGCGCTCTGTGATATGGCCCAGCTCTTAGCTACTACATCATCACCACTGCAGGGATGTGCTGGCAATCTGGACCAATGAGCACGCACTGGCCTGGCACCTGGGAGATGACTTCCGGAAGGATTCAGTGAGCTGGGCCCGTGCAGAGTGCCTGGCCTGGGAGAAGCTGGAGGATGAGCTACCTGACTTCCTAAAGGAGCTGCCCGACTGCCCTTGCAACCTTGTCCAGGCCCAGGCTGACACCGGCCGCTTCTTCGTAAGCCCCTGTGCCCACTGAGGCCCAGGAAGTGAGGAGGGGCAGAGGAGGGGCAGCCTCCCCTACTGAGGCAGATAAAGGTCTTCAGGAGGCGAGGGTTGGGGTCTGAGCTAGCTCCCAGGGAAGGAGGAAGGGATGTAGCACCCGAGTGACAGCCACTGGCCACTCTGCAGACAGACTACGGCTGTGACTCTGAGCAGAACAGTACTTGCACCTACCATCCGGGGGCCGTGCACTGTGTACGCTCCGTGCAGGCCAGGTGAGCTACGGGTGGGGGATGGGACAGGGGGCAGAGGCCAGGATGGGCTTCCAGCAGCAGCTCTCATGTCTCCCATCCTCAGCCCCAGGTATGCCTCTGGCCAGCAGTGTTGCTACAGGAAAGATGGCTCCCAGCTCCTGACTGCTGACTCCATCGGGGGCAGCACCCCTGACCGTGGTCACGACTGGGGCGCCCCTCCATACCGCACACCACCCCGTGTGCCCACCTTGTCCCACTGGCTCTATGATGTCATGAGCTTCTACTACTGCTGCCTCTGGGCACCTGAGTGCTCCCGGTACATGCAGCGACGACCTTCCAGTGACTGCCGCACCTACCGTCCCCCACGCCTGGGTGGGTACCAGCCTGGCGCCAGCCCCTAGGAGGCTCAGACAGGGCCCAGTGTGGAGATCCAGTACCTACCCCTCCACTCTCACCCCAGCCTCAGTCTTTGGTGATCCCCACTTCCTCACCTTCGATGGCACCAACTTCACCTTCAATGGGTACGGCGAGTACGTGCTGCTGGAGGGGGAGGCTGACGGGAAGGACCTGCGGGTTCAAGCGAGGACCAAGCCTGCGACACTGGCCAATGGTGAGGCCAAGGTTCTGTGAGTGCTGGGGGGGGGGCCCTAGGTCATCTGGGAGAGGAGGCAGGAGCCAAGGTGACCCTTTTCTGTGCCACCCACTTCCACCAGGCACCCAGGCCCAGGGTACGGGGCTGGCAGCTGTGGTCATCCAGGAGGACAACTCAGATGTGGTGGAAGTGCGGCTGGCTGACGGGTCTGGGGTCCTGGAGGTGCTGCTGAATTCCGAGGTGCTCAGCTTTGCCGAGCAGAGCTGGATGGACCTGAAGGGTAAGCAGCAAGCCCAGGCAGGGGTGGCAGGCTGCCCAGGGGCTAGTCCTTGGCACAGCAGGGCTGGGCAGCCGAATCAGGGCCTTAGCCTGAGGTCTGTTCTTAACAGTTTCATAACTCCAGAGATGCCCACATCACACCCCCAGGGCCTGCTTAGAGCTATGAGGATGCAGGACTGTGGGACTGGTCCTTGTGATAGCCCAGAGAAGCCCAGGGGCCAGCACGGTGGGACTCACCACAGGCCAGCAGAGCTTCACTCCTGGGCTGTGGTCCCTTGCCCATCCATAAAATCCACTGCAGGGAAGCCAGCCCTACAGGATTAAGGATGCAGCTTGGCCGTGATGGCCAGGAGTCCAGGGTCTGAACACCTTGCCATGGCTGTGCCACCTCAGGGAACTGAATGAATGAAATGCTTCCCAGGTGTTGGGGGACTGAAGGTCAAAGAACTGCAGGACGGGCAGAGGCCTCTGTATCTGGGTTCCTGGCAGAATCTGGGCATCTTAGGTCCATCTGGGGGTGGGGTGGGGTGAGAGAAGGTCATAGTTAACAGGTTGGTCCTAGGGATGCCCTCCCTTCTCCCCATCTGCTCTTGGAGCTGCACCAGAAGTTGGGGATGCTGAGGAGATGCCCCTGACCTTCTCACCCTGTGTCCAGGCTTGTTCCTGTCGGTAGCTGGTAAGGACAAAGTATCAGTCATGCTGTCATCTGGCGCTGGCCTGGATGTCAGCACACAAGGCCCTTTCCTGAGTGTGGCTGTCCTGCTGCCGGAGAAGTTCCAGAACCACACCCGCGGCCTCCTTGGGACGCTGAATAACAACCCTGCAGATGACTTCACCCTGCGAAGTGGGAAGGTGCTGCCCCCAAATGCCAGTGCCCAGGAGCTGTTCCAATTTGGGGCTGAATGTGAGTGACCCTGTGGCCTATGCTGGGCAGAGTGGAGGGCGTCACTGGGAGGAGGCCTATGGATCGGGGGAGACCCCAGTCCCTTGCCCACTGTTCAGAGCTGTGCCCACCTGTCTGTTGTCTGTCTTCCCAGGGGCCGTGCACAACAGCTCCTCCCTGTTCACCTATGACTCCTTGTGGTTGGTCAACCAATTTCTGTATCAACATAAGCATGACCCCACCTTCAAGCCCCTCTTCTCCAATGAGATTGTCCTCAGCCCTGACCAGGCAGCAGAGGTAGCCAAACTATGTGGGGACGACCACTTCTGCAAGTTTGATGTGGCAGCCACTGGGAACCTGAATGTGGGCAATGTGACACGGGCGGCCCACCGGATGTACCGCGAGCGCCTACAGAGCCTGCAGCCCGGTGAGGAGGGGGCAGGGGACCTGGCGGAAGGATGGGCACCTGCATTGGGACAGGGCCCTCTCTGCTGGCCAGTGGCATGCAGTGGCCAGCAGTTCAGGCCTGTCTTCGGTTCTCTGTCCCCGTCCCAGTTGTGTCCTGTGGCTGGCTGGCTGCCCCTTCCAATGGGCACAAGGAAGATTTCAAGTACCTGATGGGCTCCACCATCCGCTTCCACTGTAATAGCGGCTACAGCTTGGCTGGGGCGGAGACCAGCACATGCCAGGCAGACGGCACTTGGTCTGCACCCACCCCACAGTGCCAGTTAGGTGAGGACGCCCCCTGCCCACGCCCCCTCCCACCCCGGCACGCTGGCATGCCCGGCAGACCCTCAGCACCTTTGCCCCCTCACCAGGCCGCAGCTACACAGTGCTGCTGAGCATCATCTTCGGAGGTCTGGCAGTGGTGGCGCTGGTCGCGGTCATCTACATGCTGCTGCGCCGCGGCAGGAAGAGCAACATGTGAGACTCCAACTGGGTGGAGGGCCCCCCACCCCACACCCCGGGGATCCTCCAGCCCGTGCCTCTCTTCAGCCCTCTTGGGACCCTAGGGCAGCTGGGGGTTACCATGCTTGCTGCAAGCTGTGTCTCTATTTCAGGAGCCTGTGGACTTCCCACCCCTGAGACCAGAGCGCACCTAGGCGACAACGCAAGATCATGGTGGAGCCACAGCCCTGCTTCCCAGGAGGAGGCTGTGGGTCGCCAGTCACACTCGCGCGCCGAGGCTGCGGTTCCCAGATCCCTAGGACTGGGCATCTAATACCTGGGCTTTTAATTTCAGTGGGCCCAAGACCCAGCGCCCACTCTCACCTCAGCCCCGAGGCATGACAGCTGCATCTCGCTGTGCTCCCCCTATATTACTTAAGGCGATAGAGTTCCTCAGACTGGAGACTTCATACTCTGGAATTCTAATACCTCTGTTCCTGAGCCCTAATGCATCAGAAACTCAGATTCCATGCCTCACTCCCTGTAGGCTGGTGGCAGTGACCCTGATCCCTGACAGACTGAGACCTGCTCCCCTCCATCCTGTGGGGACCCCCATTGCCAAGGTGCCTTGGTGCCCTGCGCCGCCTGCACCCCCAAAGGAGCAAGGGCTGCAGTGAGGGAAGGGCCCAACTCTACACTCCAGGCTTCCATTTCTACCTCCTCTGGAATGTTGCTTGGTAACACCCCTCCCTGTCTGTATGAGGAGAAAACAAGCTTCCTGAGTCCTTTCCTGGTGTCCTGGCTCTCCTTCTGCATCTCTCTTTGGAGAGTCACCCACCCCATGCCAGGGTCTGAGTCCTGCCTGCTTCATCACCCTTGACCTCTTGTCACCCAGGACGGGTGCTTCCCCGACCTCTCTCTATGTGTAAAGTAGGATTAAGAACAGTGACACTCCCAGCCCCCGCTGCGTGTGGCGACCTACACCTATAATCCCAGCACTCTGGGAGAGGCTGGCAGGAGGATCATGAGTTCAAGCCCAGCCTGGACAATTTAATGACTTAATGAGATCCTACCTCAAAATAAAAACTTTAAAAGGACTGAGGATATAGTTCAAAGTGAAAATAGTGTGTTCAATTCCCAGTAGTGAAGGGGGAAAAGAAAATCTAAAAAAAAAAAAAAAACCAACCAGTGACCCCTCTTGGTTCAAGGATGAAGGACAATGTTCACAAAGGGTTGGGCAGAAGGTGCCCCCGCATGGGTGGGTGCTGGAGGTAGAAAGGTACAGACAGCGCGCTCCAGCCTAGGTGTCTGGCCTTGGGTTCCCTGAGGAGAGCTGCCTAACCTGCAGCAAGCAGGCACAGCCTGGCCTGGGCCTTCCGCCCTGCCCCTGGCACTGCTCTACAGGACAGCTCCTTGGCTGGGAGTTACCACTAGCAGGGCCATGCCTACATCCTCAAGTGAGCAAGGGCCGTGTTCTATAGCTCAAGAATGTGCAGTGTGAGGCACAGAATCAGGCCTCCTGCCTCTCCCACTGCCCTGGGCAGTTTCTTATCTGCTGCTCTTCTGGGACCAGGTATGATGGGAATGCCAAGGAGCACAGCACAGGAGCCCCACCTGGGAGACACACAGGGCCTGAATTCCTCCGTTGTGGGGAGAGATCGCTGACTGAGGGCCAAGCAGGGCCGCACACAGTAGGATAGGGTCAGACTGGCATTAGAGATGTCAGTGGAGAAAGCTGTGGGGAAGGCAGCCCCCTGGGTGCCCACAAATGGAGAATCTAGACCGGGTCTAGAGCAGAGGGATTAGTGAAGCCTGCAGTGCTGGGCGTGGCCATGTGGGGGCAGCATTGGGTAGGGACAGTGAATGGACGTTGCACCTCTTCTGGGTGGCTTGGGGGAGTCGACCTCCTTCCTGCACCTGGGCTTGGTCATATGTGCAGCTAGAGTTCCTGCCAGCTCACCCATCCTGGCCCAGGGGGCCACTAGGTTACAGCCCAGTCTCTGGATTCTCAGGGTGCATTTGCTGCCCAGCTGGGAGCATGGATCGCAGGGTCCAGACCCCACCCCCAGCCTTGGCCTTAGGGCGGGGTCACAGTGAACACAAGAGCTGGGAGGGGTCTGGAGGGCTCCTAGGGGAGGCTTGTGATGGGGTGCAGGTGCAGAAGAAGCCGATAGGCTTGGGAGGATGGGGGCACTGGAGGTGGCTGGGGGGCTGGGGCCTCCTGTCTTCCCACCCCCTACCCCTTGGGCTTGGAGCTCCTGGTGGGGCTGGTACTTTCCTTTCTGCAGATGAGGTAGAGCAGGGCTCCGCTCCCACAGCCTGAGTCTCCACTGTGTCCCCGTGCCAAGCCAGGCTGGCCACTTGTCCTTGAATGAGAGGTTGGTTTCTGAGTCAAGACTGGCAGGAATTCGCAGCTCACAGGTGTAGCAACAGGTGTCACAGACACATGCAAACCTGAGTTAGAAGACATGTTGTAAGCCGAGCGTGGGGGCCACCTCTGTAATCTCAGCACTCAGGAGGCTGAGGCAGAACTGCCGGTTTCAGCCCAGCCTGGGCAATTTAGCCACTTGGTGAAACTTTGTCTCAAAATTTAAAAAAAATGGGGGGGGGATGGGGATGTATCTCAATGTGAAGACCCTGGGTCCAAACCCCAGTAACACATGCATGCATTCTTGGGGCTCCTCCACCTACCCATTTCTCTCTAGGATATGCCCCAGAGCTGCACCCCCTCGCAAGAGAAGCAAAGAGGTGCCCTAGCTGCAGCCGGACCCCAGACAGCAACATTCCCAGTGCCAGGGGTATTCCCAGTTCCTGGCTGGGAAGCCCCGCCACCTGACTGGGATAAGGTGGTTCCCAGGGCCCTAAAGAAGACAGCTGCTGCTGGGCCTGCACAATGCGGACAGTGCCAGGGTAGGTGCAGACGAACCCTCTAGAGACACTAAAGGGACCTCTGCTTGGGAGGGGGTCTGCATGACAAATTGCAGGCCAGGCAGGAGTGTGAGTTTGTGGGTGACGCCCCAAGGCTGGATGGAAGGACAGCTGTCATCATTGCAGAACCTGTGCCTTGTCTCCTGACTCTTGTGCCAGTGGAGGTGGGGGCAGTGCCATCCAAGGACTTGGGAACAGGTGCTAGGAAAGCTGGGCTATGAGACAAGGGCCCGTGAAGCCCCTACTCCCACCCCCATCCTCCTCACCTACATGGAGGGGTGGAGGGCAGATCCTGTGCCTGATGCCAGGCCCTGGGCCCCACGGAAGTTGAGCTGAGCTGGCCCAGGACTCAGCCCAGCCAGAGAGCCAGAGTCATAGGGATGGGCAGAAGGCTGCACCCACTTCTCTTTTTGCCTGCCCTGCAGCCTCCACTTGGGCCACCATTGGCAGAGCAGAGGGCGAGTGATGGGCATAGGGCTGAGGAGAGGAGAGGAGGGCGCTGAGCCAAGACTGGCACAAAGGGGAAGTGTGGGCCAACCACTGCCCTGCCAGTTCCTTCTGAAAGCCCCAGTCTGGCTGGGTGTCTGAGGTAGGCCAGACTGCGGCTGGGCTTGCGGGGGGAACCCGGATGTCAGGGCCATGCAGCCTGGCATGAAGCAGGAAGTCACGGGGAGCTTCCCAGAGGAGTCGGCCTCCAGCTGAATTTCTAAGGACAGAAATCAATTAGGGAAGTGAAATCAGGGAGCCTCTCAGAAGCTGTGCAGCTCAGGCCCATCTTCCAGCTGATGCTAGGCTGCATTTCCCAGGCTGCCTTGCAGCTGGGTGGTCCTGTAGCCAGGTCTGGGTGAGGCAAGAGGAGCAGCATCAGGAAAGTAATTCCAGCCTAGGCCCAGAAAAACCTCCCGGCGACATCCCTTCTAGGCTCTTCCCCTTGCCCCTGTCATTGCAAGCCATGCCCCTTGGGTCCCGGTTAGATTGACAGCACAGAGTCACACACCCCCCTCCCCCAGTCAGCACCTCTCTGCCCCCCAGTGTGTTCAGCCATCTGGTACTGCCCCAGGAACACACCTGTGCCTGTAATTCTGCTGTAACACACTTGGGGCACACGGAACACTGTGCTGGGTCTGTCTCATGACACATCAGAGG